TTTTTTTTTTTTTTTTTTTTTTTTTTTTTTTTTGCGGTACGCGGGCCTCCCACCGCTGTGGCCTCTCCCGTTGTGGAGCACAGGCTCCGGACGCGCGGGCCCAGCGGCCACGGCCCACGGGCGCAGCTGCTCCGCGGCACATGGGATCCTCCCGGACCGGGGCACGAACCCGCGTCCCCTGCATCAGCAGGTGGACCCCCAACCACTGCGCCACCAGGGAAGCCAACTTCAGCTATTTTTAAGGTGTGCATCTGTGCCTATTTACCCCACCATGAAAATGTATTAAAAAGGAATTCAAACAAAAAAAAACTTTTTTGTTGCTTGACTTTTGAACATCCCTAAAAGAACTCTTGAATACCAAACTTAAGGGAAATACTGGTCATAGGAACATTAACTACAAGCTTTAAACAAATTTTTAATTCCTAAAATTTAAAAAGGTAAGTCATAAAAGTTATTTGATCCAGAAAAACTAGGCCTATGAGAAGGAATTAAAAACAATAAGTCTCTTGAAAGTAAATAAAAGAATTTTTAAAATAATCGCTTTGAAGGCCTTAGCCAAGAAAGTTGTGCAAGAGCGTCCCCTACTGTCTGTGGAACAAATGCAGGTGACGGGCAATGATAACATGGTTTGCACATTTCCAGATGACTTCGGTACAGTTCCCCTTTCTCCATACCTCTCTTTAATCTATCAGTAGATGCTTATAGGGCTTACCAGGAGTCCAGGAGTGTGCTGGGTGCTGGAAGAAATGCAAAAATAAACACTCAAATTTGCCTTTAAGGAATGAGCCATCTTTTACTTAGACTAGATGTTACTAACACCAAGAAATCATCAAAGCTAAACTTGAGGGGTATTTTTTCGCTGTAATGGAGAGAATTGGCACAGAGTGCTCAGAAACATTTGGAGAAGGAAGTGAGCTTTACATGCTGGGGAGGATTTTTTAGGGATGGCAGCCTACGGCCCACCACAACTGACCACAGAGATGTCATGGTGTTTGGAGACACATTGTTGTAAATGTTTTTCATTCGAATGCTTTCTGCCAGAAGCAAAGCTCACTTCATCCTCCACCAGGATTCACACATTTATTTTGCATACATGGTCCCATGTTTGCATTCAGGGGTTTATCACCCCCGATTTAAATAAACAGAGGGGAGAGAAAAGGAATTTAAGCAGAGGGAGGGCTGGGTAAAATTCCCAGGCAGGAAAAGTATCTCTGAGGGACTCTAGAAGTCCTCCTGTGTGTGGAGGGACAGGTGTAGGTCAGGGCGGCGTGGGAGGGGCTGAGATTGGAGATGGATAAAGTCAGCTAAGCTTCCCCCAAAAGAATGAGCTCATGAATGTGGAGGTTCTGGAAAACCAGCCGGGCATACACAAACGGACGGTGTAAGGATGTGCCCTAACAGGTGGGCAGCACGCTGAGGTCGGCCAGCATCGGTGAGTGGCGTCCCCCTGGAGGGCGTCCACCTGGAGGGCCAGAGGAGCCCCGGCGTCAGAGACCTGCTCCCTGCTCCGGCCCACTGACTGCCCTGCAGAGGACTAGTCAGGTGGGAGATGGGAGACACGTCTCGTTGGTTTTCAAGTGAGCTTGCCCTTGACTTTTTAGTACATCGACGCCGAGCTGCCCCCAGAGTCGCCGCATCTCTACGGCCTCCATCCGAACGCGGAGATCGGCTTCCTGACCCAGACTTCAGAGAAGCTCTTTCGCACGGTGCTGGAGCTGCAGCCCCGGGACAGCCAGGCCGGAGATGGAGCGGGGGCCACAAGAGAAGAAAAGGTATATGGAGGGGTTGCCCGAGATATTCTGGGGAGCCCAGGACTGCCGAGGCCGCCCTTTCCCCCGCCGGCCGCGTTGCGCTCCACAGCGCAGACCGCACCGCGTGCGTCTTCCCCGCGCATGGCTGGTCCAGCCTCGCCGCGCAGACTCTCCGCCTCCGAGGGACCCGCCGCAGTCACGTGACCAGGCGGGCCCTCGGGGTGCCTGGTGGGAAGTCCCTGCCGCTGGGTGTGGCAGTGCTTCACTCGTTCCCCCAGAGGCAGGTTTTATTCCGTTTGCCAAAGTGAAGAAACGGCAGAGCTGAACAATCGTGGTTTGGGAACCTCGAAATGGACCTCACGGTTCCTTTTCCAAACTAAGTAATTATGTGTGGGGAGCCGTCCCTAGACACTCCATCCTCACTCGGCCAACTAGACGCTCGTGTGGACGAACTCGCTCCTCTTTAAGACGAAAATGCGGTCTCTGTGGGAAGGACAGTTAGTCCCCGAGTCTCCTAACGCACAGCTAGTGCTACTAAGCACAGGACTTCCCGAAACTTCAGGAAGGTGGAGGGGAATTGTTGGGTGGAAAGGCAGAGGAGGGTACCGTGTGGGTGTAGGGTGACCAGAGGCAACCTGGGAGCTCTGTTCCTGGTGAGGGCGCAGCAGAGGGCAGAAAAGGAAGGGGCTCAAAGTGAACCTTCTCCGTGATGCTTTCCTAAGACAAGGCAGTTCAGTTTCCAACGGATGCGTCTGCTTCACCCCACCTCCCCTCCAGAGTACTACCTGGATTCCTTTAGTTAGAGGTTCCCTTGTTACAAGGAAGATTAAGGATTAAAAAACCTGGAGAGTTATCGAACTTTTAGGCTTCAGGGATTGATTTTAGGAAAACAAACTGACTGATAGTAAAGGAGCTGGATGTTTGTTTAAAGGTATGGAGCGATGTCATTAAAATGAGTCTCAAATTTTAATATGCCTCGGAATGAGCTAGGGAGCATCTGCTTCTGGGGTCTGGGGTTAGGCCCAGGAATTTGCAGCCCAGCGATTGTGATGCAGGTGAGCCTACTTGTGAGAAAGCTGCTCTAAACCCCACTACTCAACCTGTTTTACTCTTTGATGCATAGGATATAATTTGAGAACAAAAGGAAGATAAGAAAGTTTATGTTGCCCAGAATCCAAACCACCTAGCATCAAAAATGTTCCTAGCTTAAAAATGAAAAGGCTGGGACTATGTGAGTAATAGGCTTAGGATTCTTTGGGCAGCATTAAAGGAAGCTTCTAGTTCTTGTCATTTCCTTATCCCCTTCTTCTGACCACTTCAAGAAATGGTGTGTGTGTGTTTGTGTATGTCAGAGATGAATGAAGTATGATCACTTGCCAGACTAGGAGAACCCAACTGCAACACAGATACTGGGAAGCGGGCAGATTTCGCTAATATACAGTTATTACCCAAGGAGGAAAAAGAAGGAGAGAGAAGAAGAGGGGAAAGGGGAAAAGGACACGAAAGAAATTCACGTAATAATACAAATGGCCAAGAAAAATAGTAAAATATTCTCAACATCACTCATAACCAAATGGAGTTAAGCGAAATATTATTTTTCACACAATGGTAACATTTTTTAAACGTGAGGATATCCAGTGGTGAAAACATAAGAAAAGATGTACTCCCATCTCTGTTAGTAGAGGTTTAAATTGTAGAGCAATTTGACAATAGCTACTAAAGCTTAAAATGTTCGTATATTTTACTCACAATTCTATTCCTAGGAATTCAACCAGTGGAAACACTCAAAAGGGCAGAGATGTTATGATATATTTCTTTATTGCAGGATTGTTTATAGTAGTAGAAATGATAAACAGACCAAATACCATCAATAGGGGGATGACTCAATAAATTATGCTATGCCAAAACAGTGAAATAATATATACTGTTAAAAAAAACAAGGTAAATCCATAAGTACTAACAAGGGAATGTGTTCAAGATATATTATTAGGGGAAAAAAGCAAGCTGAGGGACTTCTCTGGCGGTCCAGTGGTTAAGACTCTGAGCTTCCACTGCTGGGGGCATGGATTCTATCCCTGGTTGGGGAACTGAGATCCCTCAGGCCACATAGTGTGGCCAAAAGAAAACAAAGACAAAACACAAAAAAAGCAAACTGAAAAATCTGTGTGTATTATGATTCCATTTGTGATAGATAGAAAGAGAAGGAGGTGGGGAGGGAAGGGAGAGCGATAGAGGGAAGAGAAGCAGCAAGGCAGGAAGGAAGATATGGCAGACGTGATAAATATGGGGATGGATGGATGGATAGATGGGTGATGGATGGGTGATGGATAGATAGAGTCATATGCATTGAAGGACACCTGCAGAAATTATAAAACAATAATTAACAGGAACATGTGGCTTATTTTCCCCCTTTGAAGGAAGAGGCAAAATTTTGGGAGGATTTCGCTTCTAATATCAGAGGAATCTGTAATATTTAGATTTTTATGATAAGCATCTATTACTTTTCCAAAAGGAAAAACAAACAGAGGTGTTTGCTTGTGGAAGGAAGTAAAGTAGACCACATCCCTTGGCATGCACTGCTCCCATCTGAAGTGTCCTCTCTATGTCTGTGGATTTGCTCCCTCCTCAGGCAGGGTCTCCAAATCCTCCAAGCCCTGATCAGTGACAGAAGAGAACTCTGTTTCCCCATGTTCAATGTGTTTTGAAACAATAGCTCCAGACTATCTTTTCGTTTCTTTGTGAATAATGTCCAAATGGCAGCTTGCTGATACAGGGCTGTTTCTTCAAATTCAGCTCCAGAGACAGAACTATGACGTAGGTTTAGCCATTTGTCTTCTGTCTCAGCAGCAGCTTCCAGGTACTGTTAAAATTCCATTCCAGTTTTTGCTATGACAGAACCAGAGACCCAATTGTGACACGGCTATGAGTTTTTACTTTCTTTTCTTCTAACATGAGCTCTTTTCCTAGATAATGTATTGTCTGTTAACAATACAAGGCAAAATTAATATTAATAATCCTGTACATGTATAGGGTCCTTTGTAGCTTTCACATGCTGCCACATTCATCACCTCTTTTGGTTTGATCGCTTCACCAGCCCTGGGAGTTGGCAGGGGAGGGGGCAGTGGAGAAAGTTGCTCTTGGACATTTTTAATAGATGAGAGAATTGAGGTCTAAATGACTTGCTTAAATTCACATGGGTGATACATAACAACGCCGTATTAACTCAGTCAGGGTTCTTTGGTTGCAAGGAACAGAGGCCAGTTTCGCTGGAATAGGCAAGAAATAGCTCACTGTATCAAAGGAATACACTGAAGAAAGCATAGAAACCACAGTGGCTCTGGGGTCCCAGGGAGAGAGAAGAGTGGACCATCGCACTTCCCTCCACTTTCTGCACCTAAATCCTGGGCTTGAGATTCAAGTTTCATGCTCCTGGGAAAGATCATCTGATTGGCCCACTTGAGTCAGTGGAGGGCTGGGCCCGGTGACTGGGCCCCAAAACAGTGGGAAAGAGGTAATTTCACAAAAGGAAACAGGGACCCGTCATTGGAAGAAGAGGGATGAGATGAACGAACCAAAACAGCATCCGCCACACGCGTCCACCAGCTCTCCTGACTCCAGGAAGGGCTGGAACTGGAGCCCTGGCTCCCTCTCTCCCTCCCTCCAGCCCCTCTGCCAGCCACATGTTCTAGTAAGTCTGCACTTTCTCGTTTTTCCTTCTCTGCTGACAGAGCTCCTAGGCTTTACTCATTTGCTTCAAAATGGCAGACTCAGCCTCCCAGTGCTTGCCCCCCAGACAGCCCAGAGTCTCGGTGCCTCAATTCCAATTTTCCTGGAGAGAGGCCCTCAGTGTTCTAGCTCCCCTGGTCTGATTAGCTGACATTCCGCGTGACAAAAGGGTCCGTGGGGTGTGGGAGGAGGTTTACATGAGCTGTGGCGATGCTTCTTCCAGGACCCAAGGACAGGAACTGCAGTGCAGCCTCGTGGAAACTCCGAATGGAATGTTTACATGTCTCCGTCACTGCCGCTCATCGCCGCGGCTTCCCGTGCTTCCAAATGACCGCCCTAGGCCCAAGTCTGTCCTATGCCCTCCTAGCTCGATTCCCACAGCTAGCAGGGTCACTCTCTGGGTTTTTCAACTCCCAGTTCTCAGAAAGGACTCTGTGTTCATCCTTTTCAGCTGGTGCCAGAGGTCACAGAGAGCTGGCCAGCCTATACGGGAGGCCATGCTGCGGCTGGCCCTCAGCCCCTGACCCAGTTGGCCTCAGCGAGCGGGCAAGGGTATGCCCAGGGCACGGATGACTGGCATCTTTAGTGCCACGTGGCAGGGGATTGGAGGCCTTCTGGAGAAGTTGAACCCCGTCTTAACCCTGTGTTTCCTGTTGTGGGGCAGGTCAAGGCCGTCCTGGAAGAAATATTGGAGCGGGTGACAGATGAGTTTAACATCCCAGAGCTGATGGCCAAAGCGGAGGAGCGCACCCCCTACGTGGTCGTGGCACTCCAGGAGTGCGAACGGATGAACGTCCTCACCCAAGAGATGCAGCGCTCCCTGCGAGAGCTGGACCTCGGATTAAAGGTGGGCGAGGCTGGGGGCGGGGGAGGGAGGGCATTGCCAGCGGGAACCCCTTGTGGGAGGAGCGCCAGGGGAGCTGGAGAGCAGTGGTCACAGCAGCCTCACTGCCTAAGAAGGTGCCACTCGTAGAAACCAGAGTCTGGCCAGGCTGCAGGGAGGGTAAGACAGGCTCTGAAGCTGGAAGCTGGGAAGGCAGAATGAGCTGTGACTGGCAAGCTGCCCGGGAGCCCATGCTCTGAGTGCCGAGCAGAAGAGAAGTCTTGATGCCCTGTGTCTTCTGCTGACATGGGTGGTGTTGCTTTCATGGGACGTAGAAGTGTGTGCTGCATCAAAGCACAGGTTCTAGACAGCCCTGCAGCACCTCCCAGCTGTGCTGCCTCCTCGCTGTGTGGCCTTAGAGTGACTTAAGTCTCACTGCGTCTCAGTTTCTTCACCTGTAAAACAGGGATAGTGGTCCTACTTCATAGGGCTTTGGGAAGGATTCAATAAATAGGTTTGCATAGAATGTTTAGAGCAATGCCCAGCACGTGGCAAGTACCCAGAAGTGTAAGCTGATGGCATTATTATTACCACCCCGTCAGAGGAAAGGAAAGAACTTTAATCTCTTGCAACCTCATGGTTATCTGAAAGGCCCGAGATGCTGCACAAGCTCTGACGTTTCTCATGAGCAATGAAAGAGTCTATTATTTATACCACCAATTATGTAAATAGATCTATTTTATTCACCATAAGATAATTCCATCAAGTGCCCAGCACAAAGCCAAACAGAAAAGCGCTATAACTGTTCACCTGGATGACAGGTGAATGGGAGGTCCTGCTGCCTTTGAGGAGCTGAGGAAAGTAACTGTTGTCAGTTTATACTGGCACATTTATTAAAATAATTGTAACCCCAGACAGAGGGAAAGTGAGAACCCAGTTTTGTAGGCAGTGGTGAAAGCTCAGCCCAGCCCTGGACGTCCAGGCCTGTGATGTGCTGCCGCCCTTGTGTCTGCCTCTTGGAGTCGTATGACCACTGTCACGGGTTCAGAGGGCACACAACCATGAGCGTCTTCACATGTGGTCACATAGAAACTATGAAGTAGACTGAGAAATCTGGGTGAGTTTTTTTCAGTCTGTTAATTCCCATTCTGCCCCAATATGGATAGAAGGAAATAAGGAGAAAGGAGAGACGGGAAAGGATGTCGAAGGCTGATGCTATTTGGCAATGTTACCAAATTATGCACCGGCTTGTAATCAAAGGAAATACAGAATTCCATAGAACAATCTCAAACGTAAATAAGGACCTTGCCGGTCATTTTATGTGGCTCGGTTCCCTAGGTACGCAGGTATATATTAGTAATTATCTTGAGCTTGTTTGTTGCAGTCTTAGCTTAGTGAATTGTGCAATTTGGTGCAGTCTATTTACCCATCCGACTTCCAATTCATTCACTCACTTTTCTCTCCAGAGCCTTCGCTGCGGTTTGGTGTCATGGATCCCAGTGCGTGCCTGGGCGAGGATGAAGGGGTGGGGAGGGAGTTACTCTTTTCTTCCAGTCTAGCTCGAGCAGGGCTGGTGGATGGTCAGCCTCGGTGCTCTGCCCTTGGGGAGGCAGCGGAGACTGACAGGGGAGCCTTCCTCTCCAGACGGACAGTCTGGCGGGAAAATGAGCATACAAATGGATTACAGCACCAGGCAGGATTGATTCAGTGCCACACAGAGAGCGGTGCGAGAAGAAAGGAAGAAATAAGTATGTGGAATCAGGGATGGCCCCGGCGGAGAAGTGGCATGCAGGGGGCTTCGGAGGAAGGGTAGGATTATGACATGTGGCAATAAGAAGAATCTTCTAGAAATCCCAAGGTGAGGAACCCTAAGCCTGTTCTAAGAGTTAACTTAGTTTGGCTGGAGCAGAGGGTCCCCTCAGGTGAGTAAGAGTGATATGGTGAACTTCTAAAGGTGACTGGTGGTGACAACATTGACCCAGAAGCAGTCAGGACAACGGTCTGTTGCCTTTTTCTCCTGGTCCCCTGTGAGCGGAGGGGACAGATAGAGCAATCTCCACTTAAAAACGCTGTCATGAAAACCCAGTCTCATTAGGACAGGGCCCCAAACTGGCCTGGTAATCAGACTCCCTGGGGGCGTCATCCCAATATGTGTTCCTATCTCCACCCTCCAGTCCCACCAACCTGTGGAGCTGGGGTCTGGAAACCTATATTTTTAGCCAGCAGCTGGGTAATTCTTGTGGCGAGACAAGTTTGTGAATAGCATTAAGGCAAGTAGGTAGAAGAAAAGATGGACAGATGTCTTCATGGAACAGTGAAGGTGCAAGGGGACAGTGGCAGAGTTCAGAGAAGGAAAAGTTTCCAAGGCTGGGGAAGAGGTTAAGCTGAGCTGCAAGAAATGGGAGTCAGAGAGGAAACGGCTGAAACAGGAGGGGTTCACAGGACAGCCTGGCATGTGCGGGAGACGTGAGGGCCCCACTGGACAGCAGCTGGTACATGGAGCGGTGAGGAACTCACATCCCAGCTCCCAGCGGAACATGGAAGGGGAAGCATAATGGGAGGAGAGGAAATTCTGAGCGAGGTTTTCCTTCCGGTCCTTTCTTTCTCTTGAACAGTCACTTTGAAGTTCTAGGACTGTTTTAGGTGGAGCACAGGGAGACATGGGGCAACCCACACTACCCAGCACGTCAAACCGGCAAACCCAAATGCCCTGTCCAGACTGGGCACCAAATTAGAAAATGTCTGACATTTTAAGTCATTAAGTCAATACCCTTAGCATTCTTTATTACGAAATTTTTATTCATAGTTGGCTGGATGGGAAACCATGATGCTACCCAAAAGTACTGGCTGAACTGAGAGGTACAGCTCTCTAACCCCTGAGGACTGCGGGAGCCCATAGCACACAGCACACAGAAGTGGCCACCTGGGAGAGGTCTACCAGCCACAACCGTGTCCCCACAGAGGAGAATTCAGGAGAGTCAGACATCTGGCTCTCAGCCTTAAACAATGAAGAACCAGGTCCTGTGAGCATCCCAGAGCTGATTGGTCAGAGGTACTGACTCCCACTAACCAAATGCACAAAAGCCTGATGTACAAAACTCCCAAATGCCAGTTTATTCCTTTACAGTCCTTTACAACTAGGTATAACTTTCCAAGCGCCATTGACTGATGGCAGCCTGCCCAGAAAATTCTCTACCTGTGTTGGAAAACTACAGGAGAAGCTGGATTCCTATGCACTGTCCAGTATGGTAGCCAGTAACGACAGGTTAACACTTGAAATGTGGCTAGTCCAAACTGAAATGTGTTGTAAGTTTAAATTAAATGCCATATTTCAAAGATATAGGACAAAAAGGGGGAAATATCATATTAATAACTGTTATATTGATTAAATATTGAAATATTTGACATTTTAAATCTATTAAGTTAAATAACATATTATGAAAATTAAATTCATCTGTTTCTTTTTATTTTTTTAATGTAGCTACTAGAAAATGTAAAATTACACACATGTAATTTTGTGAATTTTAAATGTAAAATTACCCAGTCACAACTTGCATTGTATTTCATTTGGGCAGTGCTCTCTTAGATGGAGTCATGGCCAGCCCAGAATCTGGGGCTGGGAACTATTTTCTATTATTCAGGTATTTAATGGCATCAAACATTTTCCCCCTATGCTTCAGTGGCTGATTGCCCCTTCTAATTGACAAATTCTGTTTTTCTAAACATGTGAAAGATGTTCAGTCTTAAAGCCCAGCTCGCTGACTTGGGGAACCGCTCTGGCTCTTTACTCTCATCTGTTGTGTGTTGACTTAATAGTTCAGGTTTTGCTTTGGCCCTTTAGTGACTTATGGTCACCACCCCCCAGGCAACTGCCCTGGCCCACATGCCTGCTAGAGTGCACAGATGGACCAGCTGTGGTCACCCGCAGTCTGGACGCCAGACTGGGAAGGGTGGAACCCACATAATTCCCACTTCCCTCCCCATCTCTTTACCTCCTGGTGTTTCATTCATATGAAAGCTGGTTGCAAAGACCACCTTCAGAGGGAAGGAAAAGCAGACAGGGGCTGACCCTCAGAACAAGGTGCAGCCTGCAGCCCCTGGAGAAGGGCATATGTAGGCGTTGCTGACCCCACGTGACGGACGCTGGCCACGTGCCTGCGAGCCCAGAGCACCAGCCACTTCTGACCCTCCAGAGATGCCCTTTACAGATGGACATTCCTGGCCATCCAGAGGCTGGAGTCCTTAGGTTTGGAATGGAGCCTTTGAATCTGCGCTTTTAACAAGCGCACTAACTTAAAGCAATGAAGGCCTAGAGGGCAAATCAGGTTTTTATCTTATATTCTACCTAAGAAAGACTTTGAAAGCATTTATAGGGGAAAAAAAAGTGGTTAAGGCCACATCCAGGTAGCCCTCATACCCACCATAAAACGCCCCCCAGTCTTTAGTTCTCCCTGCTTTCCCTGCAACGTGGATGTGGAATAAGCCAGTCACACAGGACCCTGAACTACGTCATCTTCTTAAGGATTTAGTGTTCTCTTTGTGAGTTTTCTTTTTGTCGACTCTTGACCTATGAGGACACAAGTGCAGACATTGATCCGTGTTCCACGGGATCCAGGCAGGGGGAGTTTGAGGAGGTCAGGCTTGAGCAGATGGAAGCAGGTTTCTCTCGCAGGGAGCTGGAGTCCTTACAAAAGGCCTGCTTACCCACAGTTTGGCCCAGAAACTTCCTGTCTGCCCACCCCGCCTCCACCAATCTGGCAGCACCTGAGGAAGCGAATTTTCTCTGAACACCTTTTAGGAAACGCTGTCCCAGAGTCTGTAGGTTTATTCCTCTTTTCCTAAGAAAGGGACCCACATTACACTGAGTGAATTTGGAGTGGGGTTCTCTCTGGTTTCTTCTCAACCCCTCCTCTGAAAGTGAGTCATTTCTGTGTCCACTCAAGGCCATGGGCAGATCTGAGTTCAGCACCCTAACCACAAGGCGAACTTCTTTTCCTAAATCGTTCCTGCTTCACTCTCAAACGGGCAGAACCTAAGAGACAGCACATTCTTTAAGGCTCCATCGCTCATACTTTCAATTAGTAAACGCAAAATCATTGTCAGAATAACTTCTAAGCAGACGTGAGAAATTTTTAAGAAAGCCAAGTTACACATTTTATGCTTCCCTGCTGTCAAAATGATTTTAGATTTCTGAAGAGTGTTAAGTATTGCATATACATTTTTTTATTATCAGATTTTATTTTTAGAGCAGTTGTAGGTTCACAGCAAAATTGAGCAGAAGGCGGAGTTCCCATATCCCCCTCCCCCGACCACACCCAGCCTCCCCATCATCAATACCCCCAGCAGAGTGGCCCATCTGTAACAGCTGGTAAATCTACCCCGACCCCTCACAATCACCAAAGTCTCCTGTAGTTCACATTAGGGTTCACTCTGGGTGGTGTACGTTCTACGGATTTGGACAGATGTGTAATGACATGGATCCGCCATTTTAGTGTCTTACAGGAGAGTTTCACTGCCCTAATACTGCATATATTTTAATTTAAGCACATGATTTCTTCTTGCAATGAATGTCAGAGACATAGAGGTTTATGGGACCTCACCGTTTTCAGAAGTGGCACATCTCTGAGTAAGGCATGGTCACACGGAGTAAGTGATTGAATTAGCCGGGGGCGATAACCAGGCAACAAAGGACTTCTCTGTACCAGCAAACAACTGCGGCTGGCAGAGTCCGGGGCTCCATGTGAGTTCGTGTCTATTTGTCTCTCTGCCACGGCCCTCAGAGATGTGCCAAAGGACCGGGACATTTTCATCCTACTTTTTCCAGTAGTGCTGACCCAGTCCTGTTAGGTCAGTTGTGGGATGATTCCAGGGCGGGGGACCTTACCTCCCCACCAACTCGCATGGCCAACAACATTCACAGGTGCAAAAAACTTCCACAGACACACCCCAGCTCAAAACAACCCAAAACAATTCTGTGGGGAAGCAAATTTATTTGGTGTATTATTTATAAAAGCACTTTATAATTATGTGAGTTAATTGGCCATTGAAAACTTAAAATTTTTATTTTAAAGGGAAAAATAAATATGGCCTATATCTTTTTTCTTTTAAGTCTATTGGACTTTATTTTTTTGTAATGAGTCTTGATTTGTCTACACATCTTCTTATCTGCAGTTTAGCCAGTGCGTACTATTATATGCCCATAAACATGTTTTATTAAAACTGCAACATACAGAATTTTTAACACAACCCTGGCAAAAACACATACACTACAGTTTAATTACCAAACAGAAAACTAGGCCTTTCTGTTTAGAGCAGTGCTGTCCAATAGAACCCTCTGTAATGACGAGAATGTTCCATATCTGTGCTAAGGGCACGGTGCCTGTTGATGACACGAAATGTAGCTAATGTGACTGATAACCTTATAATTTTAACTCACTTGTGCTTAAATAGCTTCACAGGACTGATGGTCATCACATCAGACACGGCAAGCCTCACTGGGTACCCTAACCCCCGTGCAGACACCGCTGCAGTAGAGACAACACCTTCAAGAAATTGCAGACCCTTGGCATAACTAAGGTTACAAAGTTTAATTTACAGATGGTTTCCAATGTACATCTTCCTCTACAGGTTTCAGGCAGCAGTTGGAAGGGGACCCCCCTTCGCTGGAGGAGGACGGAGGAGCCCAGGCTTTAGGGTGAGGGTGGAATCAGCATGGAACCCACAGGTGGCTTGAGGTCTGCCGTGGACCTAAACTACTGTCAGGAGATACGTGTAGACTCTGACACCACAGGAGTGGGGAGAGGACCAGTCTCTGTGAGACAAACCTTGCAGATCAAGTACTAGACAGGGACGGTCATTGTGTCGCCCACCCCGGCCGTCATCTCCTGTCTTCCCAAAGATCCCTGAGGCCAGCTGTTTCCAGGGACTTGCTTGCCCCTCACTCTT